ACTCCAAAGAGGCTCATCAGCTAGCTTCAGCATGGTAATTCCGTACCGCAGGTCTGTGTAGGCGGCTAGCAGGCTTTTGCTCAGTGTCGATGTGCAGGGCATTCTTCCGAGGTTTTCCATTGTCTGCCTGAAGGGCGATTGCAGCTAGCTTGAGCATCGTGCTGGATCTCCTCTAAGGGGAAGTCTTGGCAGTCATGAACCAGGCTGCCCAGAACAGCAGGCAACTCATGGGGCACGTTGTCATTCATGTTCTGCTCGGAGGCCAATGGGAGCTTTGAGGAGCAGGGTGCGGTGTTCCTTTTGGTCGTCCGCCACCCCGCCTGGACTCTGTTTAGGGTCTCCCAAGATAGCACGAAAGAAAGGTGAATGCAGTTTCAAGGTCCGTATCTTGCTGTGCTTCTTCCTTGACCATAATTTTTACGTTCTCCATGTCAGTGCGCAGCGGGGAATGTGGCCCTTTCTGCTCCCATGCACTTTGACCCTCGACCCAAACACTTTCGGAAGCTCAGTTCAAGAGCAAAGCCGTCGAATACTGGTTGAGTGAAGATGGACAAAGGGCTTTGCAAAGGCGTGGTCTGGTTTCTCTTGGAGCCATGGCCCATGCTTTTGGACAACCGGGACAGCCCATCAATGAGAATGAGTTCAACAACTGGATTCATAATGAGATCGTTCAGAACCCAAGCATGAGTGATACATCAGCACTTAAGCGTCTCCTCTTCGAAAGTCAGTTGCTTGTCATGGCGGCATTGAAAGAACAGATTTCCGCTCCAGATCAAACCACGCCAAAGAAGTTGCCTGCTGTTGAACGCGAGACAAGAATGACTGCGGTTCGCACAGCGCTGGCAGGACTTTTGATTGAAGGTCCCCTCGAGTCAGGCCACTCAGTCCTTGAAGCATGTGCGCACATGTCACAAACCAACGAGATTAAGTACCTTGCTCCTGAACGTTGTGTTTCAAGGACTCACGAGGTTATGCACCTTAAAACACTTAGCAGGCAACTTGACATCAGCTCCGACTCCCTAGTAGTAAAAGAAAAGCAAAATGTGCCTGACATGATTGCATCCAGTGCGCTCCAAGTCCAAGAAGCCATGGTTCGTCGAGGCATCGGTCTTCGTTTTGCAGACCTTGTGGATTATCAAAGGTATAGTAGGTATCTTACCACGCTTTTCGGCCATCTTCATCGGGAACCTCCTCCAGGCTTTGCTAGGTGTACTGTGACACAGATTGTGCAAGCTGACAAACTAGTTTGGCAGAAACTCCTTGAAGATGGAGTTCAACCGAAGAGACGTGCAGATGGGTCCTTGCCTCTCGATGACAAGTTGATCGAAGCCCTTGAATCATACCAGGTTTCATTTGCACTTCTTCCACTCCATACCAAAAAGGACACGAAGCCTGACAGACCAACCAAGAAGATCAACAAGGATCCTCAGGGCACCAAGCAGAATTTCGCATCAAAATTACGGAAAGGGAAAATCAGGAAAAGGCCAAAAGGGCAAAGGCCGAATCCCAGGTGTGATCCTGAAATTGGGCGGGGTCGGTCGCATGCCAGGTGGGTCACCCATTTGTTACCCGTACAATTGTGAGAGCGGTTGTAAAGATGGAGCCGATGGAGCGTCTTGCCAAAGGGGAAAGCATGTGTGCGCCAAGTGCTTTGAACCGCACAGCATTCTTGATCACTATAAGGCTTGAATAGCCCAGGGCAATGGCTCGTCTGCTAAAGCTGTTAGGTCATTGCCCGTGAAACGCCAAGCAGAATTTGCAACATGCGATGCAACCGAATCCATCCGCATGCATCCCCCTTCAGAAGTGAAAGCAATGGAGGGCAACTCACATTTTGTGCACCGTCAGCCCCTCCAGCAGTTTTGCTAGTCAGTGTTGCAGATGTTGACCTCCAGAGTAATGCTAATCACCAAGCATCCGAGGATTTCTCGTGCCCGGTTCTAGTGGAAATCTTCTGTGGCTCTGCGCGAGTCACTGCATGTGTTAGAGCTTTGGGGTCAACTCACAGTTTTGGGATTGATCACGTTAAGAAGAGTGCAGTAGCACCAGTGAAGCTTGTTGACTTAACCACCAATTTTGGACAAGCTAGGGTTCGACAATGGATCTCCAACCCTTCTGTCAAGGGATTGTTTCTTGCACCACCTTGTGGCACGTGTTCACTTGCAAGATCTATCATTTTGCGTGATAAACTCGGTAGACGGATCAACGCACCCAAACCACTCCGGTCCGAGTCTACCCCGAGGGTCTCCCTCACTTATCGGCTAGGGACAGACTCCGAGTTTCTGCAGCAAACAAGTTGTACAGCTTTGTCCAGGACGTTGTCGAAATTGCAATTGATCGAAACATTCCGGTGGTAGTGGAAAATCCTCGTTCATCTTTGTACTGGCAGACGGGGATCACACCCAGCACCCAAGTGGGACGGCTGAGCGGTTCACGCTCTGACATTGGTTTTCAGTTAACTCAATTCCCAGGTGAGGGAAGGAAGGTGAGAGAACCGCATGGCGAAAGGTCCAAGAAATTGTAGGTGTTTGAACAAAGGTTGTTTCTCATGTCAGAAACCAAAGTTTTGGGGGCGGTAGCGTGAAGAACCATGAATCAAAAAGTGGAGAAGTAGAGTCACGGCGTGGAAAACAGTTTCGGTCGCAGGTACAGGAATGTGCGTCCACATTCCCTTCCGGCTGAATCCCATAGCTTCGTTGGCATGGCTAGGGAAACAGCTGCCATGCCCCCTGCGTGGAAACTGCGCAATGAAAATTCAGCGCCCCTGGATACGGGGGTTGACGCACACAGTATGCCGTGAGTCGGCGCTTCTGGAGAGAGGCTTGGCGGTCAATAGCTTGCTTGCTGGCTGGCTGGCTTGCTTTCTTGCTTGCTTGGCTACTGGCTTGCAGTGCGGGAAGTGGGTGAAGTGGGGAGGCATGTAGGCTTGTGGGAGTGCATGTTGAAAGGGCGTGGCGGTGACATGGCTGGAGCTTGTGGTGGATGAGGTAGTAAAGCAGGTAGTGGTTGTGGTGGTGGTGGACGTGGTGGTGGTGGTGGTGGTGGTGGTGTAAGTTGCCAATTGCAGTGGAGCTGGTGATGTTGCCAGAAATAGGACCTGACGTCTGTAAACGTCAATGAAATAATAGATTGCTTGCTTGCTTGCTTGCTTGCTTGCTTGCTTG